TATCATATGTCCATGTGAAACTGTGATACTTATTTTCATTCCTAATTAAAAATAACATTTTTGAAGTAGAAAAACCAAATTTATAAGGATCAGGAGAACTCACAAAATTGAGCAAGCATTTGCAAAGTAGTCAACCCCTCTTCATTTTCTCGACGTAAATTTACGTCGGACAAAGCCATCTCTGACGTAAAATTGTGGCATGATTTTGCCCCATTTTACGTCGGTTTGGAGAAATCCCTGACGTAAATTTACATCGCCTCTAAAAGGCGACGTAAATTTACGACTCTCGTATTAATGTCGGACCCTTTTCCGACGTAAAAGGGTCAAAATACACGACGTAAAAGACCCTTTATGTACTAGTGTATTGATTGACTGATAATAACAATAGTGATAGTTAGTGCTATTAGGTTCGGACACAAGTCAATTAAGAGATGTGTCAAGTGTCTTATTTCTTGGTAATTTATTAATAAGTTATAATGCATATTTGGTTCTACGTCTTGAACTCTTGACTTACATAAAAAATGTAAAAATAAGAAAATTAATATTTCTTATTTCTCTGTTAAATTGACACTAATTTATTAGAAAATGTAAATTAATAAGACGAATCCAAACTAGCACATAATTAAAGACTCATATGCCTTATCTTAAGGACAACTTTATTTGATTCTTGTCAATATATCTTAAACCATCTCTAGCGGAGTTGTTTATAAGCAATCCTCTTACCACATCAGTCCATTTTCTCCTTTTTTCTTAAGCACCGAAACTTGTATAAATTTTTGGTAAAATTTAAGCAACTCAAATGGGCTGATGTGGTAAGGGAATTACTTATAAATAATCCCGTTGGAGATGCTCTTATTAATTAAAACCAGCAAAAGAAAAAACTTTATAAAAGAAATCCCACTGCTAAAATTATTCCAATACTTTTGTTTAAATTTTAAAAAAATAAACATGAACACGTTTTATATTATGGGCCCAAACTAGAGATGACAGTTAGAAACCAAATGTAGATTGTAGAGGGTCGAAATTTTGGACATCAATGGAAGCTAATTTACATCCACCTGACATAAACCCTAAAACCTAACTAGAGATGTCATTAAGTTTTGAGAACCTAAAGGTAGTGCTTAGAAAAGAATTAGAAACCTGGAATCCCAGCTTCACTAACGGTAGCGGAGGGAGCACACAGAAGTCACGAGTGGTAGTACGTGAGCTGAACAGAGCCCCTAGAGAGAGTGAACTTCGACGTCTAACAGAGGTGTAGGAATGATGAGGGCTTGGTGAGAGTGAACGTGAACATGAACTGGGAGTAGGAGTAATGAGTTGCGAATGTTGGCGCCAAGGGTAGCACTTTTTAATTAAATGCTCTTTAAAAGGTGTCATATAATATGAAAATTAAAATTAAAATTAGTTTATCTATGACTTAATTTTTTATTTTATATTATTATCTTTTCTCATTATGGGCTTGCGTGATAATCATTACTACCGCCCACACAGTCACAGAGTTGACTTTCTAAGTTGTGCTTCCCTTTTCTTTCCTTGTGATCATGCATGAGATTTATTCAAAACTTTAATTTGACCATTACTATCTCACATGCCTACACATTTTCACATTTCTTTCTGCCCCTCAAGAACAAAAATAAATTGCAGACTATTTCAGTAAAAAAGCTCAAAAGCCAGCCATAAAATACATCCTCCAACAAGAGGAGACACGGAAGTTCAAGGTTGCTAGCTAGCGTCAAAAACCAATGTTCTTATCCTTCGCACTCGCATGGTGACGGCCTATTTTTAGTTTCTTGCTAACTTTGTTGTTTGAGTACTACCACCTACTAAGTCTAGGTGTCTTTTGATACATAAATTAACAACCCTAAATTATTTAATCCCAAATATGACAATTATTAGATAGCTATTGGAATTTGGAATGAAGATGAGATAGCGATTACCAATCTAGAATTTTTCTTTAGCTGGGGTGATATGGAGGAAAACCACCTCTTCCCGTATACGCCTAACAAAACCCTTCTCGTGGGTCTTAATGGAACAATCACAGTGCATATGTGTTTCTGTTTGCGATAACAATAAAGTTTGAGGAATGGGATTGAGGGTTGAATATATTGAACCCTGCTCCATAATTTTAGCACCATTCCTCTAGGCTCTAGCTACACTACAAACCCAACTAATATAACATGTGATTAAATGAGTTAAACTCATATAAATACTCCACAATATTTTATGTTTAATTATTCTTATTTTTAATAAATAAATAAATAACCATGCATGCAATTCCACACAGGATTAGTAAATCCAACTTATTATTGTCATATCCTTCAAAAAAGAGGTGTACTATCAAAGCTAATTCGAATTTACATGACGTGTAACGCCATGAATACTCTCTGTTTTTTTTACTTTTTCCCCCTCTTAGTTTTTTAAATAAAAATAATATTTGAAAAATATTTTTCAACTTTAAAATATTCTCATTTATAATTGTTAAACTTTCCAACTAAACGTCATTATTAAATAATTCACCATGAGAGATGAAACCCACTAACGTGAGTACGTGACTTACGTTGCACTTTGGTTTTGGTAACAGTGCAGTGTATTTGTATTTCCGTACTTAACTGCTCAAACGTAAATTCAACTAAAAGGAAGAATTTCTTGTCTTTTACAAAAAAGAAAAGAAAATAATTGTTTTAGAAAGTGTATTTAATTAAGCCAACTCAATGCATGGATAAATATGTTTTCAGTCATTCTTAAAACTGTTGCGTCGACATCATGAGAACTTTGAAATTTAATTCGTGAAAAATATGTCACAATGCTACAGATACAAATTCACAACTAACTTATTTGAATCTTACCAACTCTTCATGGTTTTTTGTTTTTCCCATTGACTTTGGTGTGCAATGTGCTTGATCGAGTGAATTTAAGATTACAATACTGTGCAAATACTTCATGTTACTATATAGCATGGAATAGTAATATTATTTTTATAACTATTAAATGTATGGATCAATTATTACAAAAGTATTATAATGCAATTAATACTCAACTTATATAATATTGGTTTTTTTTAATAAATATATACATTAGTGAGTAGAACTCAAGTCTAATATTAATTAAAGTTATAAAAATTAAAAGTGAAAGATAATCCTTATTTTATAAGTTGAAGCCAGAATCCACATTCTAATATACATGTGACATTTAAAAGAAATATTTATGTGCAATAGATAATGTTGCTACGTACATGGTGTAACAGGTAAATTTCCATATATTTTATTGTAATATATGATAAATAGAATTATATTTTTATCTCGAATACGTTTCATGATTTTAGATAAATTTCAGGGGTTATTAGACTGTAACCATCGTTCAACATATTTAGTTTACAACAAACGTGTAAGCGTCACAACTGTACTCTAAGGTGTAATAGGGGGCTGTTATGATGACTAACCCAAAAAGAATAAATATGGAGGCATTTGAAAATTTCAAGCCGACTTAAATTGCTTACTTGCTTGCATTGCGCACCATATAACACGTCAGCACATGTAGATACACGTGTTGGTCAACTAGAGCCTAGAGGAGATATTCCAGCCACTTCTGTGTCAGTGCACACTCATCAACTATTTCTATTACAAAGAAGGTAATACCCGTTAATTTAAACTCATTGTCATAATACGGTAAAAAAAATAGTTTAGTTTTTTTTATATATAATTTTACTAAAAAATAATTTATATCATAATTATCATTCAAACCACGTGTTACTGCTGTATTGCAATTTTTTTTTAATTATTTTTTATATTGTACTGCTATATTACATGGTACTGGGGAAAAAAGTCATGTATTGATTTTTTAAAGAAATGTACGTTTGTTTCAGGTTTATTACATTTATAGAAATCACATTTTTGGAAACACAAAAATTGAGAGGGACATTTTTTAGTATTTTGAGAAGGAAAAAAAAAAGTTCGATTACCAACTACAATTTGTGGGAAATCTTTATATATATATATATATAGTAATAATAATAGAAGGTAACAAGACTATACGCAATCCGTCCCGACATAATATAAGAAAGAAAATTAATTCATACTAATTAAGTTAGTTAATTTAATTAATTTTTATTTTAAAATAATTTTTAACAACTTTTTTTATTACAATTTGATATAAAAATAAAATTTCAATTAAATGAAAGATGTTATAAAATAATATATCATCAAGTTAGGTGTAATTACTTAAAATATATTTATATATCGGTACAACTACAATTCATATATCTCTCTCTCATATTTGAGTATGCTAGAGCATTCCCAACCTAACAATCTCTTTGAAGTTCTTAAATGGATCTTAGGTGTTTAGATAATATATTTTTTATCTTCTTTCAATTTAAGTATATCTTATGAGCATTTAATTTGTCCAATCCAACACCTCTAAAAAAATCTCCTAATGGATCCTGCCAATCATTTCACATCCTTTAAAACGTGTGTAAATATTAATTTGTATTTTTTTTTATTATAAAAACGAGAATTAATATAAAGAAATGAGGAAGAGATAAAGGAAAATAAAAGTAGGTGGATATTTGAAACGTAGGCGATATTTTTCTCCTTTTAGAGGGAACTTGAAAAGTAAAAGAATAAAGTATAGATAAATGAATGCGTAAGTGATGATTGGAGAATGTTATAATGCAGGGTAACTCAATTAAACCAAAACCATGTTTCCACTTTTTTCTTCCCACGCAAGACGCAACGCAAGAAGCGAGAGCAGAGACGGTACAGGTTTTGGTAGTTTTAGGATATTTGGGTAGCAGCAGATAGCGTGTTTATTTTTGTTCCACATTTGATGGCACCCATTTGCCAATGCGAAACAAAAAACAAAAGGAAAGTAAAAAAGTAAAAGAAAAATAGAAAAGAAATTAGTGGTGGTATACGGTATATATAAAAGCATCTCTCTCTCTCCCAATTTGAACCAAATACGAGAAATTAGTTTACACATGACATGACATGACACTCTCTCTGATCTGACACATAGGAAACCTGAAACGAATGAAAACCACAACCCCCATCCAATATCTATGATCCATTGATAGAGGGGAAAGTGAATCCAGAAGCCATATTTGTGTTGTAAGGAAAAAGTTAAGTTAGAAAGAAAGCAAAGCAGAGGCCATCAATGGCCGACGTGGTAGCGAAGAGCAGCCTGATGAGCCCGAGCAAGAAGGAGGCGAACAACCTCTTAGGGCGATTCGAGATTGGGAAGCTGCTGGGGCATGGAACCTTCGCGAAGGTGTACTACGCGCGGAACCTGAAAACGGGGGAGGGCGTGGCCATCAAGGTAATCGACAAGGAGAAGATTCTGAAAGGAGGGTTGGTGGCCCACATAAAGCGCGAGATCTCCATTCTCCGGCGCGTGCGCCACCCCAACATCGTGCAACTGTTCGAGGTCATGGCCACCAAGAGCAAGATCTATTTCGTGATGGAATACGTCCGCGGCGGCGAGCTTTTCAACAAGGTCGCCAAGGGAAGGCTCAAAGAAGAGGTTGCCAGGAAATACTTTCAGCAATTGATCTCCGCCGTCGGATTCTGCCACGCCCGTGGGGTCTTCCACAGGGATCTCAAACCCGAGAATCTCCTCCTCGACGAGAACGGTAACCTTAAGGTCTCCGATTTCGGCTTGAGCGCGGTTTCCGATCAAATCCGACAGGACGGTCTCTTCCACACTTTTTGTGGGACCCCCGCGTATGTCGCTCCCGAGGTTTTGGCCCGGAAAGGCTACGACGGCGCCAAGGTTGATCTTTGGTCGTGTGGGGTTGTCCTGTTCGTTTTAATGGCTGGCTATTTGCCTTTCCACGACCAGAATGTTATGGCCATGTATAAAAAGATTTACAGAGGCGAGTTTCGTTGCCCGAGGTGGTTTTCTCCTGATTTGTCAAGGCTTCTCACGAGGCTTCTTGACACCAAGCCCGAGACTCGAATTGCCATTCCTGAGATCATGGAGAACAAGTGGTTCAAGAAAGGCTTCAAGCAAATCAAGTTTTATGTCGAGGATGATAGACTCTGCAATGTGGATGACGCTCTTTTGGATAGCGTCGACGATGACACGGCTTCCATTGCTTCCATGTCGGATTACTCCATCTCCGAGTCTGATTCCGAGATCGAGACTCGTAGGAAGAATGCCCCTTTGCCTAGACCTCCTAGTTTGAATGCTTTCGACATTATATCTTTCTCACCAGGCTTTGATCTCTCTGGCTTGTTCGAGGAGAAGGGGGATGAGACCAGGTTTGTGACTGCTGCACCGGTTTCCAGGATTATTTCAAAGTTGGAGGAGATTGCTCAGTTGGTTAGATTCTCCGTGAGGAAGAAGGATTGCAGGGTGAGCTTGGAGGGTACCCGAGAGGGTGTGAAGGGGCCCTTGACTATTGCTGCTGAGATATTCGAGTTGACTCCTTCCTTGGTTGTGGTGGAGGTGAAGAAAAAGGGAGGGGACAGAGCTGAGTATGAGAGGTTTTGCAACGAGGAGTTGAAGCCCGGCCTGCAGAATTTGATGGCGGAGGACAGTGCTACTTCTTCCGCTTTGTCTACACCTACTCAGCCTTCCCTACTCCGTGGCCTTTCTGAGCCTGTGCCGGATATTTCTGATATTCAAACCCCACGATATATACCTTCTGAAGATTGAAGAGTGGGATGGGATAGACTTTAAAAATAAAAAAATAAAAAAAAGGTAAATCACTAAATCGTGTCTTTCTCTCTATCTCTCTCACCCTTTCTTTCTCTTTTGTTTTTATTAGATTGTGCATGGAAATTGGTAAAAAATTTTCCCCACAGGATAGGATTCTATTGTCCTGTTTTAGTTTTGCTTCTTCAATGGAGCATTAGGTGCCTACTGTATTTGTTTGTCTAATGGCTATACGAAAAAAGGCTAATTTAAATATAGTCAATGAGTATGTATTTATTTCTACTCTTCTTGGCTCCTTGTTGCTCAACTGTATATTGCTTTGCCTCTGTAATCTGTATAGCGCGCGCGTAATCAGAAAATAGCAAAACGGTTTAGTGTTAATCCATGTGGCATTGCACTGGCTTTGGTTCTACATTAATTCGTTTGAAATTGGAGACCGGAGAAAGAGTGTTTTTTATTTTATTTTTTTAATTAGATTATACTACAAGTGGGAGCTTAAAAAGAAATGAATAATGAGAGATGCTGGACGTTAAACTTGCACATGGCTTAATAGCCTATTATGTAAATCAGAAGATCATTTTCCATTGGACGAGGAATAGATCCTCTCGTGTTTGATGCTGTAACTAATGTGGAACACATTCAATGGTCCAGGAGCACCTAACTAAGAATCTTGCTTGGAGGAAGCCATTCCAATAGATTATATCAATAAGACACGAATACCTGAGAATATACCCCCTGCTACGTAATTTATTGATTTCTTTGTTTTTGCATGACTTCTGCAAAACTGTTGAAGAAAATGGACCGGAATTAACTTCGTACTGGTTACATACCGAGTTAGCATGTTGTATTTGTGAAAAGTTGTTTAATACTTGCGAAATGACAATCTTTTTGTCCAATCTAAAAGCTACTGGTATTGGATTAACTACAAGTATTATAAAGTAATGGAGTTTGTTAGCAATGCACAAGGAAGCTCCCATTTACTTTCCGTTTAAGGATCTATAACAGTCTCACCAAAAAACTGCTCTGAAGATCAGAATGTGGCGGAGAAATTTTTGGATTAATCTTGAATTAAATCTTAACGAAATTGATTGTTATAGATCTCAAGCCATTAAGCCTTCAACATGATTTGAATGGGACTAGTATCGGTTGTTTGGTACTGCTGGGTGCTGGTTCAGGCAAGTTAACAAGCTGATGAGAACATATGCTTGTTATAAAAGTCAGGTATTAAGCAAAGATAAATAAAAAATAAAAATGGATTACTTGATTGCTTCCTGTTCAGATAAATAGTGTTGCTTTTTCATATTCTCTCCCTTGAAATCCGTTGACTTCTTACATTGAAGGAAAAAAAAAAACGTACTTATATACGTCAAAGTTCATAAAAATGGGGAGAAATTCAGCAGGGGTTATCTGAATGATGACATTTCGTCAACACGTGCCATCTTTGTAGTAGCAAGCGTTGATTTTCGCCTCTAAATTTCAAAATTTTGTCTAAAAATAGCATACGCAAGAATGCTTCCAAAATTTTAAAACGTCTCCAAAACGGTTCTGTAGAATACACGCGATAACACGGAAAGCTTTTGGGCCACTAATCTTGGAGTTGAGACCGGTACTGATCACTTTCAGCTACAGTACGTTTCACGATTTGGACTCCGACACGTTTAGTTATCAGTTGAAAATTCCTAGTTCGTATTATGAAGGAGGATTGCACACTAGAAAGAAATTGTAAAATAAAATTAATTTAGTTATAATACATCCAAAGTTTTTAAAACCGTCATCATCACATATTATCAAACATTATTTATATGTTGATTTTATAATAATCATTTTCAAAATTATATGCAGAATAATTTTGATTAAATTACGGTATAAATTTTTTTTCATATTAACCGTGCATAAAATATTAAACTACAAAGTTATTTTTTTATCAGTTTTTAATTATTTATCAATGTTGAACTTTGAAAAAAGCTACTTACGTAGGGCGTTAAAAGAGTTCCAAATTAATGTTTGGTTTAAAACTTTAAATATACTTCTGCCCTTGTAAGTTGTAATCGAGTTTTGTTAATGTGTCTCAAAACAATTTATTAAAAAATCATGGTAGGTGCATTCGTAACATTTTTTTTCCATAGGTGTTTATTAGGGAGATCCTTTTAAATTTTTAAGTTGAGAATGTTAAATTCTCGTGTTTGATATGATAATTTTAAAAATTATTTCCAAGAATTTAACTTTCTCGCAACTAATTTTTTAATTAATTTTTTTTCATAGGTCCGGATAGGAATCCAAGCTTCTCATGGAATATATATATATTTTTATGCATAATTTATGTCTCTCAAAATACCATTCTTTACTGATTTGAAAAAAAACAACTACCATCCTTTTACTAAATTTTTTTGTGACTAAAACCATCGTTTTATTTATTTATTTTATTTATACACTTAATCTTCTTCATATTAATCATTTTCAATATATTTTTCATCCATATTTATAAATTAAATTTTAATATTTTTAAAATTTTCACAATAACTAAAAAAATTATTTATCACAATTTTAATTATTCAATGTAAATCTAAAATATAATTTATATTCAAATATATTTATTCATTATGAATTTCAATTATATAAAAGAATAAACATTTGCCTTGGACAATACATTGCCTAAAATAATAATTTGTATTAATTTAATATTTTTTAAAAACATGTGTCATTTAATATTTTTATAGAAAGGTTAAAAATCATGAAATACCTATGATTTAAAAACTGAAATTTTTATTTAGAGGAATTTAATTCTTATATTATATTATTTTCTTCATATTTTGATTAGTGGAGTTATTAATAAATATTTTTTTTTACATATTTCAACGCAATAAATTAAATCAAATCAAAATCATTTTTAAATGACTAATAAAAAAATTCTAAATCCTCCTACAATATTCTATAATTCTTCCCATGTGTCCAATGAAAATAATAAAAAAATGCATGCATGTTATTATGTTCTCATCCAATCACTTTTTTTTTATTTAGTATTTACTTCATAAAGTATTAGGATGATTATAAAGGAGTATGACATTATTCTATTTAAATCGGAGTAATATAATTTTGTTATTTTTGTGGCTTGAGTCCCAGATTTAAAAGTTATTTCTGTCCCACGTCGAGAATTTTATGGTTTGCTAGAGCATGCAAAAGAGTGTCTGTGTGTTCAACATCCATTACTGTCATATTTATGGTGCATACGCGTTGTCTACGGTGATGTCATACAATAATACGGGCTACAAGTTGAACCAGAATAAGCTATTATCTACTTGTCTCGTTTAATCCAACACTTTTGTTTCAGTTACATCAATGGGTATGTTGATATTAAAATTTAGAATATAACAAAAAAAATTTATATAATTATATACCTTGTAAATATATGCTAGCGGTGTATTTTTTAATCTATCATGATCAAACTCAGTAGCAAAAAGATTTACAATAATTTACGTAAAATAATTAAGTTACATCTCTTGATATATATGTTAGCAGTGCATGTTTAAACTTACTTCTAAAAAAAATTAACAATTTCTTTTTACTAATTTTAGTCCTTAAATTTTTTATTAAATTTTACTTGTAATCTTTGAATTTTTGCTCCGGTTAAAATTTTGGTTTATGGAAAAAAAATTAAGAGCTAAAATTTGTTCAGGTACTAAAAGTTAAAATTGACAAAAAATTCATTAACTAAAATTATATTTAATTATATATATATATATATATATATATATTCAAAATGAATTTTTTATTCTGCAAACTTTATAATTAAAAAAAAATGAGTCTTAATTTGTTTAACTAAATATTACAGAATAAATCAACAGTTACAAATATAGATGCAACCAAATATTATCCACACATATCGCGGTCGTAATAAAGAGAAGTTAGTATTATTTTTTAATATTAATTTTAACACATTTTTTTATCATTAGTTAAAATATTAAAACTATTAATTTATGAGTAAAATTTATTACATAAAAAGTGAAACTCATAAAATTTATTTGCCTTTAATAAATTTTAGTGGATAAAAAATAAATATATTTAAAAAGAGTGCCCTTAATTAACGTCATAACTCATAATATGTTACATAATGATAGTATTAACTATTTTGATTAAAATTTATGACATCATGCATACTACTTCAATATCATGTATATTACCAGCGGCGGATCTTCATAGTGACAGACTCCCCTAAACTTTTCTAATTTTTTTATTATTATATATATTCATATATATATATATATATATTAATATTATATTTATATATTATTATATCATTAATTATAATAAAACTAAAAAAATTAAGTTAAAAAAAGAGAAATTATATTATTTTTTTAACTAATAAAAAATTAATTTATAACTTTATATATATATAAAAATAATCCCCTAAAAAAAAATTTAAAGTTCCGCCACTGTATATTACTCCAATTTTCACTATTAGATCGAACTGGGTAGATTTTTCATATTTTCTTTATCCACGAGTTTCTTAAATTAAAGAATTGGTAAGTAAAAAAGTCGTAGTAAGATATATTAAAAATCATAATAGGATTGTATTGATAATGTTTTTTTTTTTATATATTTAAAATGATTTATTTTTAAGTTTTAAATTTTCTTTATATATATTTATAAGACATAGCAATTTAATTAAACCCAAAAAGATTATAACATCGATCACCCATTAATTCTGCTTGCCTTGTTCCTTTCTGCGGGCATGCTTATTAATATGGTCCACAAGCAGAAGCAGAAGCATTGAACTGAAATTATTGAATGGCAAATTAACGGAACCAACAGCTACGACCGAAAATAATTTATTTCTGTCCCCTCCCTCTCTTTGATCAGTTATTTTCCAAGTCCTTCACAGAAGATTATGAAGTATATATAAATTCTAAAGAGAAAAATCTGAAAGTATATATAAAAAGTTTGCCAAATAGCTTGTCCTCTATTTTAAAGTTTTTGAAACAAAACAAAAGCCGAATATTACCAAAAAATAACATCGAAGGACAAGCTGAGGCCCAAAACTAGGAAAGAAAATGTGTTTTGTGCCAATTGACACGCTCAAATTATTTTGCCCTTGTTAGAATAAAATAAAAATTTTACATGACAAACTATATGAAAAATTGTCTTTTATATAAATATTCATAATTTTTAATAAAATTTCATGTATTTAAAATTTATGAAATAAATAAATATAACATTAAAACAAGTATTTTCATTGAAATATCTTTTGTAGTCACACCATTCCTTGACGTCAGCATTTGATTTTGGA